AAAAAAAAAAAAAAGTGAATTACAGAAAAAATTATTTTTTTCCTGATTGCAACAGTTCACAATTGAATTGAATTCACAGCAAATAATTACCTGAATAGATAATATTTTCAGGAGAACTAGAGAAGGAAAAACAAGTAAATGTTGGGTTTGTGGTGGATAGTGAATACTAGATTATTACCATTACTTGTGTTATATTGTCATTATAAACTGGAGTATATCTAATTACAACAAATTATTTTTTTATTTATTTTGAAAGAGATGAAGAAAACACAAATGGGGGGAGGAACAGAGAAAGATAGGGAGAGAGAGAATCCCAAGCAGGCTCAGCGCAGAGCCTAATGTGGGGCTAGAACCCATGAACTGTGAGACCATGACCTGAGCCGAAATCAAAAGACACTTAAGCGACTGAGCCACCCAGGCGCCTCAACAAATTCTTTTATAAATTCCTAAATGTTTGATTTGAACTTATTTGCAGTTAAAGTAAACCTAATTAGCAATATCTACCATGAATAGAATCTGATTTTCTTGTTGTAAAAATATTTTGTATTATTATTTAGCTTCCGAAGAACTAACCATTGCCGGCATGACTTTTACAACTTTTGATCTGGGTGGACATGTTCAAGGTAAGATTCTATGACTCTTGTAAATAGCTTTATTTTAGCATAATAAAAATGTGGCCGTTATTTTCTAGTGCATGAAATCTCATTCTATTCAAGAAAGGCCAGAGTAGACTTAAAATTTTAAAATTATTACCCCCAGATAAGCTTTAAAGCAAAGTGATTTTTATGATACCCCTGGTCAATTTAAATCTGAATTGCTTTTGGTGTAAAGCATGTAAACAAAATTTAGCCTCTGTTGTCTGCTCCAGTCTACGTCTCACTGATTGTCACAATCACATTATGATGACGTTACTGCTGTGCATTAAAAACTTGCTGAGTGACCTGCAAATAAAAACCAAGCTCGTTGACCTGACATCGAGGATCTGTGTGATCTGATCCCACTTTATTTTTTGTCTTTATTTTCCGCTGCTCCCTTTCCTATTCTCTTTACTCCAACCAAACCAAACCCCTTGGTGTTCTCCCACCTCTATGTTTTTAATTCACACCACCCCCATCTGCACATGAGTAACCCACCTTCAGGGCCCAGTTTAAGTGTGGCTGCCACCCCTGAGAAGCCACTCTCACCTGTGAGTGCTGTCCATAGTACTTCCATGGCGCTTAGTGCATCTGTGTAAACGTCTACAAGTTTGGAAAAGACTATGTTATCTCTTCTACTAAACTTTCTGGAAATAAAATCCATTTTTTTATGTCCCCCAAAAGACATGGCAGTACCGAGCACGTGGTAATTCATAAATAATGAGTATTATTGGTGGGCATTCTAAAAACCTCTTAGGACAAACAGTTGAAAAGATTTTGAGTGGTTGTGGCTAGTGAATGCACATTTTGAGACATAATAATTGTTTGAAATATATATGAAGTACTTTCCAGAATATAATAGTTAGAGAGAATTGGAACCTAATGGAGTTTGTCTGAGACTTAATGTCTGTATTGTTTTTAAGATATGTCATAAAACTGAAGTCAGAAAAAGTTGCTTACTCATAAGACACCCCTAAATCTTTTTTTTAAACCATCATGGAAAAAATTACCTTAATGGTGTCATCGACTTTAGTTAATTTCTGTTACATAGTTAGCTTTTATTATTTTAACAAATCTGTACCCAATACTGATTTCCTTCTGACATTGACTACAGATTTATCATTGGCCAAAAAACTGATAAACTAGAAATGTCAAAAAATGAATACCACATATAAAAATTGTAGCAGTCATCCAGTGAACTTCATGTGCATCATTGTCCATCGGTAGCAAATATTAATTCCCCTTCTCACATGGGAAAATTGGGACAGAGTGAAATATTTGACTTGCTCACATCAAGGAAAGCCCTCCTTGGTCTTCTGGAAAGATTTGGCAACACCAGGTTAAAGATTAACTTGATTACATAGTGAAGTAGTAGCATCTAAGGAATAATAAAACTGGGTATCTTGTTGGACTCTTCCATCAAACCATCTGCTAGGTTTGACCAGCAAATAAAATCTAACTCCTGATTGTTTTTGTTAGCTCGAAGAGTGTGGAAAAACTACCTTCCTGCTATCAATGGCATTGTATTTCTGGTGGATTGTGCAGACCATGAAAGGCTGTTAGAATCAAAAGAAGAACTTGATGTAAGTTAACTGAAACTAAACATAGTTGAATCGTTCTGGTAAGCTTAAGGAAATAGGTTGGAGATCGAAGTATCAGAGTGCAGCTTCTATGCAGCCTCTGCTACAACTCCTGGCAGTTTGTGGAGCTCAGTGATTACTAGGAAGGCAGGGACAATAGCTTAGAAGAATTGTAGCTGTGGAGGAAGTGCTAACACAGACATTCTTCCCGAAGACCTAAGCTCACTTTGTGCAGTGTGCCTTGTATTTTATTTCAAGTCTGCAACATACCTGGAGTGGCTTGGTCTTGAGTCCCAGTTCATGCTAGTATGCCGTTTGCTTTGGGAATTGTCCGGAACCTGGAAATGGTATAACATACTATCTTTGTCACCACTTCCAGGAGTGAGCAGGTCATGTGTAGCCATTTCTCCCCTCTCCCAGGTCAGATGCTCCCTGAAGAGATTCATGAACAGCAGGGAAGGCCAGGGCTAGATATGGGACCACAGAGAAAGCAGTTGCATGATTTGACCTGACCGTGCCTCTTCCCATAGCAGGCAAATAAATAATTGTTCATGTGGAAAAGTCCAGGTAGGTCCTGTGGTCATGGAACAGGGTCAGGGAATTCCTGACTACTTACCTTGTGCCAGGCACGTGGATGTTAAGTCGTTTAATTTTCAAATCAACTCCGTAAGGTAGGTGCTACTATTCCAAATTCTCTTTGAACTTCACTGAGGCTTATTTATCCAAGATCTCACAATTCATAACGAGCAGAACTAAAATTGAAACCAGTTCTGCCACCTTCAAGGTGTTCATTTTGGTACCTTAGTGATTCACAGAGTCAGTAGAGTTGAGCATTTACAGAAGGAGCTTTAAGGAAACAGAGGAATTGAGCTAATGCTTTCATTGAGCTTCCTTTATTTTTGTTATATTTTATTATTAAAGATTTTATTTTTTTAAGTGATCCCTACACCCAAGGTGTGGCTCGAACTCAAAACCCCGAGATTAAGAGTCACATGCTCTACTAACTGAGCCACTTAGTTGCCTCTGAGCTCACTTTCAAATACAGGAAAAGTTTGCCAAACAAAGTTGACAAAACTGACATGCTACGATAATGAGTCCTTGGTATTCATTTGGGGTCCTGCCATAATGAGCCCTTTAGACGATTTCATATCAACATCTTGTCTTTCATTTTGTTTTGTTTTGTTTCAGTCACTAATGACAGATGAAACCATTGCTAACGTGCCAATACTGATTCTTGGGAATAAGATTGACAGACCTGAAGCCATCAGTGAAGAGAGGTTGCGAGAGATGTTTGGTTTATATGGTCAGACAACAGGAAAGGTAAATAAAATAATTTTTTTGGATAAGTGTGAATATTTCATTTGATAGCCTAAGTATCTTTTAACTTCATGTTTTAGTTTTATCTACTGAAACAGTGTATTCCGATACTAGTGCTAATAGTAATCTTGGTTATTATTAGCCCAACTGGTGGCCTGCCTTTTTTTTTTTTTTTTTTTTTTTTTGAGGTATAATTGACCTGTAACATTAGTTTCTAAACTGTCATTTCTACATTTTGGTCTTTTTAAATATCCTCATGGGTTTTCTTTCTACCAGTGAATGAAACCTTTTCCTGGTAATAACAAAAATGTCAAAGCTCATGCTTATGGGAAACATAATTAAGCCGCAATTCTGCTATAAAGTGGAGGTTTTCTTTCCTAAAGGAGTCATTCACCATAATGTCTGTCTTCCCTTCTAGGGCAGTGTATCTCTGAAAGAACTGAACGCCCGACCCTTAGAAGTTTTCATGTGCAGTGTGCTTAAAAGGCAAGGTTACGGCGAAGGTTTCCGCTGGATGGCCCAGTACATTGATTAACGACGACCCACATCGGTTCCAGGTCTCACCATTCAGGCCTACTCAGAGATTTGCTCACTCAACTTGCATAACTTGAATTCAATAGACTTTTGTTGGTTAGAAAACAGATGTTTTTTAGATTATTAATATTATATCAAGTTAATTTGAGTGCAAATTAAAAACCAATTCAATGTAAGTTTGAATATCACAATGTTAGCTTTCTAATTCCATAAAAATTAGTTTTTACAGTTTATAATCTGCCATTACCCCGAGCGCCATTTGTAAAGAACTTTCCAGCAGTACATTTGAAGCACTTTTTAACAATGTGAAACTACAAATATAAACCATATCTAAAAGCTCATCGTGTTAAATTTTTATGTACTATTTTGGAACTAGTTTTTAAATTTTGATTATATGTCCACCTCTCTTAAGTATATAGTTAATAATTAGCTTATTGATGATTGCATGATGCCTTACAGTTTTCAATATTTTTTCGTATGCAAACGTCATGCAATAAAACAACCCCTAATGTTTGGCATCTGTTGGGCAGATGTTTCATTTTAATATGTCGTATCCAGCTAGTATGCTCTAAAAATTGTGAGTAATGTCATACATAGGAGGAAGCTGTGGGGAAAGAAGAATGCTTCAGAATTTTTAGAAGTGTTTAAGTCCTTAGAGGCTTTTGCGTTTACCAGGAGACAGGTTGTGTTCAGTTGCACCTTATACCACATTTATCTCTGAATCATGTGTATTTTTAACAGTAATGCTACCGTTAGTAGTGCTGATGGGGCCCATGTCCTAGTTGCCGTGGGATCGGCCTTCTGAAGAAAAGCACACCTTCCGGTACAACACAAGGTTAATCTGGGGTATGACAGGCCCTATGGCTCCATTCTAGTCTAATTCTGAAGCTTCCAAACTTCTTGGTGCCCAGTTTGGTGATTTGTGCCTTTTCACCAAAAGCAGTGACAGGCACCAGGCTCCCCATGTCTAGAGGTACTCCCCAGTCCCTTTACATAATGGTATTCTCAGGGCGGGCCACAAGCAGGATCTTGCATGTAGTTTCATTGTGGAGGCCTGCAGGTGCAAGGAAAAAGAAAGCCTCTTCCACTTCAGTTGTCAGAGATGAGTGGGGACTCTGGGCCTATGCTATAGCTCTTCTACATTGTTTGGCACATTTTATTTCTCAGTAGAAATAAATGAATGCTTGTATTTAATTTTCATTTATATTAATTGCTTTCCGCTCTTTATAGCACAGAGGCTTTTGTTTTTAGAGGTAGTTCTTGCGGTACGATAGTGTCTGCAAGTCTGATAAACTTAATAGCAAAATTTTAGTTAGCTTTTTAAATCACTTTAATTTTCTAACTGAGGTTCCCCCCCCCGAGATTCTCATCTTACTGAAATAAGCTGAAAGTGCCAAATATGTATTTTTAAAGACTCCCAAACTTAAGATAGTCCTTTTTTGGTTATAAACCAAGATTTTATAGTCTATTTAACCAGTCTCCTTGAGAATAGATTGCTCCAGTTCCATCAAGAATAATTTTAATATCTTTTCCAAATCATGTATTATAGTCCTTTTTTGTCATCAATAGGATAACATATGAGGTAGATAGATGAGGATTGGGGAATATGACTGGAAGGAGTGACCAGATAACTAAACCAACAAGATCATTCGACACATTTGGTTTTAGTAATTTGGCTCTTCCATTTCACTCTAAGCTTCCTTCCAAAAGAAAAAGACAAGTTTCTTCCCTGCTTTGAATCATCAGTGGCACCATGGGAAAAGTACAAAGTACTGTTGGCTTATTCTGCCACCTGTGTACTTTGAGGGGTGCATGGGTGGCTCGTTGAGTAGAGCATGTGACTCTTGATCTCTGGGTTGTGGGTTCAAGCCCCATGTTGGGTGTAGAGCTTGCTTAAATAATTTAGTAAATAGAGTACTCAACTTCAGGTGTCCTGACTAAACAAAAGGAGGCCTTATTAAAAGTAAATGCCTCTCATTTTTGGTATCTGTCTTCAGCACCAACAAGGATAGGCCTTTTCTTCAAGTATTTCCTTATATTGTGTTACTGAAGTCAGTTACCTGTATCATAAACCGGTATAAAGGAAAAAGCTTACTGGTTTCTCTAAAGAGGAAAAATGCTTTCCGGTACCAGATAATCTTGTCCCAGAATTCTAATTCTAGTTCTGACACTGGGATCAAAGAAATAAGTCACTTTGTGGACCACAGCTCAACTGTGGGTATTTTTCCATTAATGTAAGATTCTTATGGTATGAACATCCAGAAATGAAGTTGCGCTTGGCAGCACCCAGCTTTCCTGCAGCTCCAGGGAGATGGGCCTGCAGAGGCTCCAAGCCATTGGGCTTAACCCTCTCCCTCTTCCAGCTCCTCACACTGCTCCCCTTCAAGAGAAGCAAATTAAGAGAAGGGCAAAAAACAGAAGCACATGGGGAAACCTGTACTGTGCATGTGTCTGTGCAAGTGGGCCCACCTGTGGAGTATTCCGGGGACATAGGTTACTGTTGTACCTTACACTGTAAGGTGTGAAGTGTAATTGTTAACACTGACATGTACAAGATTGAATTCCATAGAAATGAGGCACTGCTCAAAAGAGGTTTTAAAATCTAAAACTCTACAAGACTCTAAAATACTCTCAGCCCACTTTTTCATTAGTGAAATTCTGAACCCCATACCTGCTTCAGTGACTGCTGTTAATTATGTGTTCAAATAGCTTTTTAAATTTATTCCAGTTTGTCTTTCTCTCTTATTTTTAGAATGGAGATCCCAGCATTTTCAAAAATTGGGGCAAAACATTTTCTAAAGTATATGAAAAAATATTCTTCACCATTGGCTTGACTGACCCAGTATCTTTGAGTGCCAAAGACGTATGAATTCAGATACTGCCTACATAGATGTCAATTTTAGTTTCATATGTACAGATTTAATGTGGTTTACAGTGTTGTTTCTTGTTAGTTTCCAGTGGGCTCACACTTCTTTACAGTGCTTTCCAGAACGTCAGCTACTTATAAATCATTAACATAGGGTAACAGCCACAATAGTGTTGGTTGCCTTCTGCAAAATGACTTTATCAGCCACATTCAAAACCCAGCATTTTCACAAGTTCCATCGTTAAAAGAAGAATTCTAGTTGGTAGGATTTGAGAGTTTCAGGAGAAAGGTTTACTGCTCTGAAGCTGCACTGGTTGGGACTCAGTGCAGCATTTCAGTCTTAATAGTCACGTGATGAAAGTTTGCAAGGCTTTACTGCCACCTATGTTTTGACCGGTGTACAATGAGAATAGCTAATGTCAGGTGAACTCTTTCAAGGTATCTTGTGCTCATTTTATTTAGAGTATACTGTTTGGATCCCTTTACACCTAGGTAAAAGTTGGTGAAGCTACAAAAAAACCTCCAAGAAAGCATGAAAAAAATAGAGGTTGGCAAATATAAATTCCTTAATGCAAAATTAACAGAGGATTAAATGTTTTCTATAAACATTTTTTTGTTGTCAGTGTAAGAGTTCAGAAAACACTATCAGTTGAGGTCTAAATACTCAAAACTACATGGTGATTCTTCCATCGCTGTTCTTTTGAAATGCAACTTAGTGCTTTTAAACACAACAACAACAAGAAGCAATCAAGAATTAATGGGTCTTAGAATATGGGACTGTGCCTCTGTATAAAGTGATAGGGATTTTGTTAAACACCAGGTCTCTGCTCCTGACCCTGGAACCCTCCCCCCTCACACACGCACACACCATACCTGCAGCAGGGAATCTGCGGGGCCTGGTGAAGATGCAGTTCTGAACCGGCGAATTTTTGTCCTCGTCCTTTAGAACATTAAATAACTAATGCATTTAATACCACTGATAGATTGTTCAGGGCTTTGACCTCACTTTTAAATAGAATCAAAACTAATTCAAGTAGAGTCAGCAAATTTATCCGAGATAAACTTTGTTTCAGGAGTGTCCCCAACCAAATAGATTTTAGGGTAGAATTTTGCGTGATTTCACAGAGAAGTATTTTTAGAAAAGCTGTACTGGAGTGGCTGAATTCTTCAGCATACATCTTAAATGGGGAAGGGAGGATTTAACTTCAGTTTTAGATATTTCAGGGGGTGACACAGGGGGGTGATAGTTCTACAGCTTTTGACATACAAGTTGCCTTTGGAATTGTGGTCATTATCAAGCGTAAAGATTCACATCACAATGGCCAACTTCACGTGGGTTTCTCTGTTCCCTGGTGCTGCTCCTAACCTGAACTCATCATCAGCTGTCATGCTGAGGCCAGAGCGCTCAGGGTGAATGTCGTCAGGTTCCTTAAAAGTGATCAAAGTGTTTTCCATGGTGAGGCCTTCAGTATTTGACTGAATGCAGAGTATGTTGAAGTGGTAAGTCAGTGAGAAGTTTTTCATCACTAACCTTGTTTGCACTTTTGTACACCACTGCTTGCACTAGCATCTCAGTGTGAACTTTAACAATGGTTTTATAGTGTATACAGATTGTTAAGCATAATTTATATAAAGATGTTTGTTTACCTTTATGTATTTTACAAAGAACAGCTGCAGTAGATAGCTAAATGTTCTTGAATTTTGTTTGTATGTTATTTTGATTATGTTCTATTATCATTCACCCCCTATGAATTTGAGTGTCGGGAATAGAAAAATAAAATGCTAACCTGGTCTTTGAAAAACTTGAGTGTCAAGTTCCATTTTTATCATCCAGCAGTCATTTTGATTTTGCTCATTAGAAATTTCTTGGACTTTGAAATTAATGACGATAATAGAACATTCCCTTCATACAAAGTCTCGAGAATCCGCTAAGTACCAAAGCCTAATTTGCCTGCAAACCACTTCCGGGCAGACGGGAGTAGGACTGATACAACGTTGACTCCACTGATGTGTGAAAAACAGGGCAACCAGTTGGTTTTATCTACATCAAGGTGCTCTAGTGCTAGTAAGCACCAGAATCTCCTGGGAAGCTTTGATTTTTTTTTTTTTTTTTAAAGTAAACTCTGCCCCCAGTGTGGGGCTCAAACTCACAACCCCAAGATCAAGAGTTCCATGCTCAGGGTGCCGGGATGGCTCAATCGGTTAAGCGGCCAACTCCTGATTTTGGCGCAGGTCAGGATCTCATTGTTCGAGAGACTGAGCCCTTGTGTCCGGGTCTGCGCTGACAGCTTGGGATTCTCTTTTCCTCTCTCTCTGCCCCTCCCTTACATGGGCGCATGAGCATGCGCGCTCTCTCTCAATAAACTTAAAAAGTTTAAAACACTAACAACGTGCTGAATGACAAGCTTTGAGCGAGCTCTTTTAACAAAAGCAATCACAGTTCTATTATGAGGGGATCCATCAAATACAGATTTACCTATGGACTCAAATTATTCGCATTCATTTTTTCTATCAAGAAGATAGAAATAGTGCAATGAAGGAGCAAATGCTAAGAAAATAAAGCTAAGTTTATTTAGCTTGCTTATCTTCAACTAGACTAATATTTATATATATTTTTTTAAATTTCTAAACTTTTTAAAAAAAACTTTATTTATTTTGAAAGAGAGAGAGCACAAATGGTGGAAGGGCAGAGAGAGAGAATCCCAAGCAGGCTCTGCAATGACAGAGCCTGACTCAGGGGTCAAACTCACAAACCATAAGATCGTAACTTGAGCCCAAGAGACCAATGAACTGAGCCACCCAGGTGCCCCCCACCTTTTTTTTTTTTTTCTTTTTGAGAGCTTGAGCAGGGGAGGAGCAGAGAGAGAAACAGGATTCAAAGTGGGCTCCATGTCAACAGCAGAGAACCCAACTTGGAGCTCAAACCCACAGACCATAGACGGTCATGATATGACTGCACCACCCAGGCTCTCCTAGACTGGTATTTGTACTAAAGGTACAAGTAATCCGAGAATCACAGCCCCTGCATAATGTGAAAGACACCTTGTTTGGGAATAGGGCACCTTCCTAGGAAGGAACATAAATGTAAATGAAGCCCTTTGGGTGGTGGCCACCATCCTTCTGATTCAAAGGTGAGTCGGTGCTGGGTGGCTCAGTCGGTTAAGCCTCTGACTCTTGATTTTGGTTCAGGTCATGATCTCATAGTTCATGGGAGTTTGAGCCCTGCGTTGGGCTCTGTGCTGACAGTGGGGAGCCTGCTTGGGATTCTCTCTGCCTTCCTCTCCGCCCCTCCCCAGCTCGCATGCATGCATTCTCTCTCTCTCTCAATAAATAAATAAATAAACTTGAAAAAAATAAAGGTAAGGCATTGCTTAAAAACCTAGTAACTAAAAACAAGTCCGAAAGCTGTAAAACAAAGGTCCTAAGCAGGGCCCTACTTCTGTGGCATTCCTTATACAGGGTTCAGCTGGGGATTCAGTTCATTAACCAAGCTCAGGGCCTGTATTTGCAAAGCCTCTTACTACAGCTTATTTACTATTAGACATCAGGGATGCCTAGGTGGCTCAGTCAGTTCAGCGCCTAACTTTTGCTTTCTGCTCAGGTCATGATCTCATGGTTTGTGGGATGGAGCTCCGTGTGGGGCTCTATAACAGCATGGAGCTTGCTTGCAATTCTCCCTCTCCCTCTGCCTATGCCCCTTCCCTGTGTATGCACACATGCGTACTCTTTCTCTCTCGAAATAAACAAAAAAAAAAAATTAGACATCAAGGGGACGCCTGGCTGGCTCAGTCCAAGAGCATGTGATTCTTGATCTTGGGGATAGAAGTTCGAGCCCTGTCTTGGGTGCAGAGATTACTTAAACTAAAGAAAGAAGGGCACCGGGGTGGCTTAGTCGGTTAAGCATCTGGCTCTTGGTTTCAGCTTCGGTCATGATCTCAAGGTTCATGGATTTGAGCCCCACATTGGACTGAGCATGGAGCCTGCTTGGGATTCTCTCTTCCTCTCTCTCAAAATAAGTAAATTTAAAAATAAAAAATTAGACATCAGGGATCAATAATTTTCTGGCTATTACTTAGTAAAAAAGTCACCCTTGCTTGAGATATGGATTTTGATGTGGGGCACTATAATAAATGTTTATTAAAGTCACTGAGTTCAGTGATGGCAATATGTCACTTCAAACAAGCTCTTTAGGTTGCAAAAATGAAGTGAAGGGCTTTCTTTCTTGACTGTATTGCAAGGGCTTGGGTTAAGGGGTAAAAACATTCCTCCAGTTAAAAGTAAAAAAGAGGGGGCACCTGGGTAGTCAGTTGGTTGAGAGTCTGACTTCAGCTCAGGTCATGATCTCACAGCTCATGGGTTCAAGCCCTGCATCTGGCCCTGTGCTGACAGCTCGGAGCCCGAAGCCTGCTTTGGATTCTATGTCTAGGTCTCCCTCTGTGCTCCCCCCACCCCCACACCGACCTCCACTCACACTGTCTCTCTCAAAAATAAACATTAAAAAAATTTTTTTAATAAAAAATAAAAGTAAAAAACAGGAAGAAATCATTAGAGGTGAAGTTCAGGAGGACAAGGAGAAAGCAAAAAGGAACTAAAGGTGAAACTCAGTAGTGGAACTGTAGTCCCATTTCATCTGGGATGAGCAAGATTTCAGAACCTACAAAGCTTACAAACATTACCAATTGACAGCACCATTTTTAGGGTTCTCCCAGCCTTTGGGTTGGGTTGAAGTCTGTCTAGACCTACCTCTTGATTGGGAAGCCATCCCAGATTAACTGCAGTTTGGAGAAAAACAAGTTGACTTACCTATTCTAGGGACTTTGTTTAAAAAAAAATTGGGGGCACCTGGGTGGCTCAGTCAGTTGAGCCTGCAACTTCGGCTCAGGTCATGATCTCAGTTCCTGGGTTTAAGCCCCACATCGGGTTCTCTGCTGGCGGCAAAGAGCCTGCTTCCGATCCTCTGTCCCCCTCTCTCTGCCTTTCCCCTACTTGCCCTCTCTCAAAAAATAAACATTTAATGAAAAAAAAAAAAAAAGGAAGTGTAGTTGACTGACATACGATGTGGTATTAGTTTCAGGTATAGAACATAAGGATTTGACAATTCTATACACGATTTCATGCTCACCACAGATTAGTGTGGTCACCATCTGTCACTATACAACATTATCACGGTATTATTGACTATATTCACTATGCTGTACTTTTCATCTCTGTGATGTAAGTATTTTATAACTGGAAGTTTTTACCTCTTAATCCACTTTATGCCCCACACCTGGCCCACTAAAAGAGCCCTCCTGCCTACATTTCTTTCACCTGGAATGACACACTTGCTTTATCCAAATTCTTCACCTTTAAGGCCCAAATCAAATTCTGTCACCTCTGAGACACGTCTGTTGACACCTGTGTAAAAAGAAATTCCTGGGTGCGCCTGGGTGGCTCAGTCGGTTAAGTGTCCGACTTTGGCTCAGGTCATGATCTCACATTTCGTGGGTTTGAGCCCCACATTGGGCTCTGTGCTGACAGCTAGTTGAGAGCCCAGAGCCTGCTTCAGATTCTGTGTCTCCCTGTCTCTCTGACCCTCCCCTGTTCATGCTGTCTCTGTCTCTCTCTCTCAGAAATAAATAAAACATTAAAAATTTTAAAACAAAAAAAAAGAAATCCCTGGACTCAGAAAACATGGTCTCCAGCCACCTGTTTTTCTATAAAGATTCTCTCAACTAGTTAGTATAATTTAGAAGACAAAGCATTTAACTTTAGCCAAAGAAGAATCATTTTGTTAAGACAGTTTGGCCCAGGAAGGGGTTTCAACAGCACATTGGGTAACAAGACCAATTCAACTAGTGCCTTCCTTGTGAATAACTACATGATGAACCACGGTTAGCTTTGGGAGTGGGTCCTACTCTTCAGGTTAGTTTAGTTTCTTTAGTTTCAGATGTATAACACACTGATTCAACAACTCTCTACCCACAATTGTAGCTACCATCTGATACTCTTCAGTTTTGATGCAGCAGAAAAAGTAGGGTCCAACACTGGTCCTCTCTCAATTTGGGAGGAATAAAGAAAGGCCTAAATTTTATTCCCGGGATCTGAATTTTAACGCTTTTCATTCTCTTTTTGCAATAGCAAATGACTTAACCTTTTTAATTCCAGGTAGAGATTATAATTCCTACCTCCAGAAGTTGTTGAAAGGATAAATTAAGAAAATATACTGCAAAAATGGAGTACCTGTGTGATTAAGCATCTGCTTCGGCTCAGGTCACCATCTCATGGCATGTGGGTTTGAGCTCTGCTTCCGGCTCTGTGTGGACAGCTCAGAGCTTAGAGCCTGCTTCAGATTTGGTCTCCCTCCTCCATTCATGCACTGTCTCTCAAAAATAAATATATATTGGGGCGCCTGGGTGCTCAGTCAGTTAAGCGTCCGACTTCGGCTCAGGTCATGATCTCACGGTTCGTAGGTTCAAGACCCGCGGCCGCCTCTGTGCTGACAGCTCAGAGCCTGGAGCCTTCTTCAGACTCTATCTTCCTCTCTCTCTGACCCTGCCCTGCTCATGCTCGCTCTCTCTGTCACACACACACACACAAATAAATAAAACATAAAATAAAAATACATTAAAATTTTTAAGAAAATGTACTGCAAAATTGTACTAAACACTTAACAGATGGTAGCCATATACTTAACAATGTAGATTTATATACAAAATATAGCCCTTGGCTTATGCCCAAAAAGGCAAAAGCGTTTGGGGCAGGCTAGGTCTTTTTATTTTTTTTTATTGAGAGAGAGAGAGAGAGAGAGAGAGGACACACA